AAAAATAGAGTGACATAATTAAAGTGTATTTTTTTTTTTTTTTATGCATTAAAAGTTTATTAGGTGTAAGTTATTTCAAACTTATTTTTTTGTTGTTTCTTATTTATCTGAACAAAACATGTGTTTTAACTTTATCTTTTTAAATTATCTCGTTAACATTAGACATATCAAAGTAATTCAGTGTTGCCACCTTTACAAAATGGATCACCCAGTAAGTTTATGCAGGCTTGTAGTCAGTAGGTATGTGGACAGGTCTATCTTTTACCATGTAGTTATCCCATGGATAATTAAATTTTTTTTTTAAAACAACTTTCCTGATTGCTTCAAAAAAATAATAAATACACTAAACCTATTTAATTTTTCTTGATGTTTGTACTAAAATAATTTTCAACCTTTGTTTGTTTATGTTATTTAAAGTGTCCTTTATGTCTCCTTTATGTTGTTTAAAGTGTCTACTGATGTACTGAGTGTAATGTAAATTAGAACTCGTTTGAGTTCACTTTGAGAACACTTTGAAACACTTTGAACAGCTAATTTTCTGTTCTACAAAGCTTTATTATTTGGAAATCATTCTTACGATCTGAAAAAGTTGTTTTTTTATTTTATTAATTTTTTTTTTTTGATTCCATGTATAAAAAGTTCAGAATTTATACCATGATATTATAATGTTGCTTCTCTCTACAATATATATTTTTTTGAATATTTAACATCTACATTAAGAAGTTTTTTTTTTTTTTTTTGGATGACTTTTTGAATCTATTTTTATTTTAACTGCTTTTAAACTGTCCTATTTAACACTGAACATGCATTACAAATGCAGCAGTTTGGCATTTGATTATCTTAGGAGACCTTAACCAAGAATATTCAGTGCAATACATTCATTTACTTCAATGCAATCTTGCTAATTTGGTATTTGTGAGGAAAAATGATCAATGAGATATTTGAGTTATAGAAAGTTTAATTGTTTCAAAATATTCTTTTCAATGAGTAAATCAAAGAAGCAAATAGTGATTCTTAGGCATAAATACAATGGTATTATGTCATATTATACATTTTTAAAAGAATTCTGTTATTGTAGATTGTCTTTTACGAGGTTGTAAATGCATGTCTTTAGGAGTCTTACTTGAGTGCAGGGATAGCATCATATCTAGAAACTTCTGCAATTTTGTCCTTATCTGATGATTTGTTGATATTTGATGACTACTAACTTTTATTTGTGTTAAAATTTGCATTTAATTTTGAATTTAACAGTTCAAAGTTTTCTATTACTTCTTCAATATCTAAGACACAGGAAGGACCATTATTATTATTTATTGGCTTTCCAATGCTTCTACTGAAATTCCTAATTTTTTGAAACAATTTTAAAAGATTTGGTTTGGAATGAAACTCCATGCTTTTGTTTGCATAAAATTAGCAGTTAAGGTTAAAAACTTAAGTATCTTTTTAACTTTTTCAAATGTGAATAAGGAAATATTTGGTTTTATCAGTTCAAATAATTATTTGATCCAGAGATTATTCAATAATCTCTGGATCAAATAATTATTTGGGAATCGAGTTCAGAAAAGAAAAGTCTCTTTGATTTTAGACAATTGCTCTGTCTACCCTAACATGCAGAAATTTAATTGGTCAAAGCTTACCAAATAAAACCTAATTACCCAATAATATCTTTTTTGAACTTGAAACCTTTGATCAATAATTAAAATAATTCTGTAGACATCCAACTCTTTGGAAAGGCTCAAATGTGACAAGGAATATTTCACAAATCTTTAAAACATCTTGGAGACTGACTTTAAAATTACAAATATTCAAGTTTCCTTTAACATTATTAGTAGCCATCCAAGTCAAGCAAACCTTATTATGCTTGCCTCCTGTGTACTTTTTTTAGACCTGTATAGTTTTTCAGATGTAAACTACTGTTAGCAAACAATGGTAGAATAGGCCGAACTCAAAATATTTTTATGCGAGTATCAAGCAAGAATTGTAAGAATTGTATAAATGAAAATTAACATCAAGATTTCTAAAATATTCAAGTTGTTCATTAAAAAAATGTATTTTGAATTGTTATTATTTATTTATAGATTTCATTGATTGTCCTCAAGCAAAAAACAAAACAAAAACAAACAAACAAAAAGGAGACAAAATATTTTACATTAGATCAATCTATTATAGAGATAAGGTATTGGTGTCGTTGTTCATAAGTAAATGTTACAGAGATTTTTGGACACACTCAACTTGTGCTACATTAATTATGTTAACTATGTTTCTTATGTTCTTAATTATATTAATTATATTAATTATGTTCTTTATATTAACATTAATTATTTTAGTCATGTTCCTCATATTAATATTAGTTATGTTAATATTATTGTATTAATATAATAAATGTAATGGACAACAATGGAATGTTTTTTTTTTTTAGAAATGCTATACGTTTAAGATATTTTGTGACAAATAAATTGAAATTAAAATGATACAAATTAAAAATTTGGTACAAATAAAT